AATCAAGTTCACAGGAAGTATAGCCGCAGAGACAGAGAAAACTTTGGCGGTCTCCCATGAAACCACCGGTGGTAGGCGCAACCGATGCAGAGACCGTCCCTACCTACAGCTCGGCGTATGTATTTCACGATGTAGGCGTCGAACAGCTATTTCAGCGAGTGTCGCAGCAGAAAGCCACAGCGCCTTTTCGGAACGTACTATGGATAATTGACAAGCATGCTCACAGCAACGGCATGGTAGTTGCTTTGTTCGCGACCCGAAATTGAGATTCTATTTCTTCAGGCGCAAAGAAAAAGAAAAGAAAAACAAGGCATAAATCTGAAGGACTATGGAGTGAACGTGTTCAACGATAATATGTAAACCGTCGCTACAGATCACTAGATGATATGGTAGGTCACGTGCTTTTTGTTGGTAAGATTCTTAAGAGCTTAAGAGTAAGCGTCACTGGGGTATCCTTGCCTCAGGTACCTCCCGGGTTCCGTTCCCCAGCCGCAAAACAACTTCTGCCACCTCGCCGCCACAATCAGGATTCCTACGACATCACTATCAGCAAGAAAAGCCAAACGCTGGCCCGTATTCCTAATCGTCCTCGATCGACTGCGCGGAGGTCGCGCTTCTAAGGTGCCATGCCACCCCAAATCAAGCAGGATCTAAATCGATCCGGTTGGGAGTCAACAGATTTCCCCTCCGTATGCGAGAACTGCCTGCCAGAGAACCCTTACGTCAAAATGCTCAAGGAGGATTATGGTGCGGAATGCAAATTGGTAAGATACTTTTCACACCCATTGTCGACTTGATTTGCTAAATTTATTTCGCGTCACAGTGCACAAGACCATTCACTGTGTTTAGCTGGAGCGCCGATCGAGCCCACGGCCGGAAGAAACGAACGAATATCTGCCTTACATGCGCACGTTTGAAGAATTGCTGCCAAGCATGTATGCTCGACCTGTCTTTCGGCCTCCCCATCGTCGTTCGCGATGCTGCTCTGAAAATGGTAGCCCCAGGCCCATCCTCCGATATCAACCGCGAATACTTCGCGCAAAACAACGAGCGTGCCATTGAGGAAGGCCGCGCCGGGGTGGAGGAGTATGAGAAGACCGACGACAAGGCTCGAGAGCTTTTAAGGAGGTTAGCTGCCAGCAAGCCTTATTTTCGAAAGGGCCGACCGGTGGATGGCTTGGACGGCGAACAGCAGTTGGGTTTGGCTTCTGCATCCGGCTCGGGTGCCGGTCCAGGAGAAGGGATTGGAGGTAACCCCGCCGTGGGCGCTGGAGTTGGTGGCCCTGGACCGATTCGAACCAGAGACTCCAGAGCCGCCGCAGCCATCGGCGCCCGTTCCGGCAGAGCCAAGCAGACCTTCCCTAGTGCAGCGCAGCTGCCGCCGGGACCCCAAGACTACATGCCGCCGGCTGATAAGAACATCATGTCTCTTTTCGTGACCGGAGTGGAAGACGACCTGCCTGAGCACAAGATTCGCGATTTCTTCAAAGTCCATGGCAAAATCAAGAGTCTGGTCTGTTCACACATGTCACACTGCGCATTCGTCAACTACGAGACAAGAGAGGCTGCAGAAAAGGCAGCGGCGACGTGCCAGGGTCGGGCTGTCATCGCCGGTTGCCCTTTGCGCGTTCGATGGGGTGTTCCCAAGGCTCTTGGCACGATGGACAAGGAGCAGCGAACCCAGATGCTCATGGATGCTCGCCTGCGACAAGGTCGTTCGCGCGGGGGCGGCCAGCCCGGGCGGAAACAAATCACAGATAGGTCTGGTGCTGGAGACACCGCCCAGCCAGCAGCTTCAGTTGTGGTTGCGCCGCCGCCGGGTGCAGACGATGGCCCCCGATATGCGAGTCTTCAGGGCGATTAGAAAGTGATCATTTTGGCAATGAAGAATTCGATCGGAGTCCGGGAGTCTGCGTGCGGGAACACTTTTACGGCGGCCTTGGGGATTGAATCGAGGCGGATTTATACCATTAACCAGGGTATCATTGTCTACTTTACAAAATTACAAGCACCCCCTCTATACACGTGGATCATTGTCTCTTAGTTGCAGCCACATCCGCCCGTCATTCCCTGACTACCACCGGCCGTCTTAACGGAATCGTTGTCACCGCGTTCAGTGTCTTCGTGAATCCGCAGCTCTGAGAATGAGAGAGTCAATAATGCGCTGGGAACAGAAAATGGCTTGGGAATCGCATCACGTACTGTATATACGGGCTTCGTCTTGCTTCCCCTGGACGATATTTTGTCTAAGGATCTTCGCAATATCCTCGGCTTTCTCAATGGCCTGTCTTAGGGAAGGATCTGAAGGTGCCAGGGAGGCTTGGTCGCGGAAACCCTGGCGGATTTGCTGTCTTGCGGCGGTGAGAACGCGGTCGTCCCCTGTAGTTTCAAACATCAGTGGGTTTCTGTATTTAGCATGAAGACCGTTTCCGTACCCTTAAAGGCGATTCTCGCAGCGCGCCAGAGATGTCGATATGCGGGAACGGACATGATGGTTTCCACGTCAATAGGAACGAGGAATCGGCCCGCTTCGGTCAGAAAGTTGTGATTGCAATAGGTATTCTGGCTTTTTCGGTGTCAAGGATATCAAGTCTGACTTTCTCCAATTACAAAGGAAACCGCAGGCGAACGAAACAGATTCCTGATTGTGATAACTCAACAGCCTCCGTCATCAGTAAGCGTATGAGAAGAAATAAAAGGCTGCTGGAGGCGCTAGGTCCACACCCGCCCCGTCGGTGCACTGACACCTCACCCCTCCACGTAGTTGTTTAATTAATTAATTTTTTTTTTTGGAGAGAGGGGGGGGGAAAATAAGGCCCCACGCTCCTGAATTTTCCCTCCAAGCGACGACATCCCATCAACTTCCCCCCTTCCACGACACCTACGGTTGAGCCCCTCGAGTCTTCAAAATCGACGGAATGGCTTCTGCTTCCATTGTCGCACATTCTCTTCCGGCCCTCCCCGAGGGCTGGTCGGCTGAGAAGGACTTCAAGGCCGTTGGTTCGGTCTCCGCTGCCACTCAGCGCAGCCTTGAGCCTGTCGGCCCTCACTTCCTGGCTCATGCCCGCCGCGCCCGCCACAAGCGCACTTTCTCCGAAGACGACCGTATCCAGGCTCAAGAGGCCGCTAAAAAGGTCGAGAACGATGATGACAGCGACATTAGCGAGCCGGAGGACCCCATGCTCCTCCAACGCGATGCCAAGGACTGGAAGGTGGGTGGCTTGGCCTACTCGTGGACTCATGCATATACGGAATGATCGCTGACATGGTTTGCCTCTACAGAATCAAGATCACTACGAAGTTCTGGGCATTACCAAGTACCGCTGGAAGGCTACGGAGGATCAGATCAAGCGCGCCCATCGCAAGAAGGTCCTCAAACACCACCCTGATAAGAAGGCTGCTGCCGGTGTCGTCGACGACGACAACTTCTTCAAGTGCATTCAGAAGGCCACCGAGGTACTCCTTGACCCTGTCAAGCGTCGCCAGTTCGACTCGGTTGACGAGAAGGCCGATGTCGACCCTCCCACCAAAAAGCAGCTTGCCAAGGGCAACTTCTACAAGCTTTGGGGCAATGTCTTCAAGTCCGAGTCACGTTTCTCTACAATCCAACCTGTTCCCACATTCGGCGATGACAAGTCTACCAAGGACGAAGTCGAGGAGTTTTACAACTTCTGGTACAATTTCGAGAGCTGGAGGACGTTTGAGTACTTGGATGAGGATGTCCCCGACGATAATGAGAACAGAGATCAGAAGCGTCACACTGAGCGCAAGAATGCCAACGCCCGCAAGAAGAAGAAGGCTGAGGACAATGCTCGTCTCCGCAAGCTGCTCGACGACTGCTCTGCCGGCGACGAGCGTATCAAGCGTTTCAGACAGGAAGCCAACGCTGCGAAGAACAAGAAGAGACTTGACAAGGAGGCCGCCGAGAAAAAGGCTGTGGAGGATGCGCGCCTGAAGAAGGAGGCTGAAGAGAAGGCGGCCAAGGAGGCCGAGGAGAAGGCCAAGCAGGATCGCGAAGCGTCCAAGAAAGCCAAGGAGGCTGCCAAGAGCGCTCTCAAGAAGAACAAGCGTGCTCTCAAGGGTTCCGTCAAGGAGGCGAACTACTTCGTACCGGGCGAGGCCTCGCCTGCGACGATCGATAACGTCTTGGGTGACGTTGAGCTTGTCCAGGGCAAGATTGATACCGATGAGATTGCAGCTCTGGCCAACAAGCTCAACGGCCTTAAGGTTGCCGATGAGATCAAGAGCGTTTGGAGCGAGGAGGTCAAGAGACTGGTTGGTGCTGGAAAGCTTAAGGATGGGGATGCCAAGACCCTGGCCTAGTAGAATGGTGGGCTGAGGAAGTCATTGAAGAAGATGATATGACTGGGCATGACCAAGATGAAAAACACCTTATGATGGGGGACCAGCGGCGAAAAACACAGTTAGAGGAAATAGAGTCGACGAAAGATGGACATCTTTCAATACACTTGGCCTTGGGTATGGAGCCTGTGACCGTGTGTGAAAAGTAAGCGTACCTTAGTCCAGGCTCATTGTGACAATGGCATCGTTCCTTCCTGTTGGCCTTGAGCTGTAACAAGGGGGGGGGTTATCCTGGCTGGACTTTCAAAGAAAGGCAAAGCAACATGTGGGCGAAGCATAGGAGACTCACACAGCCAGGCATTGTTCTCTTCCTGTTGTTTTCTCAACTGCTTTCTTGATTGTCTCCGTTCTGTTTTTTGCCCTTGGCCTCCGTGGTTCCCTTTTGCCTTCCGTCTCATCATCACCCTCACTTGCAATGTTCGTACCTCCCTTGAAAAGTCATGACATATAGCAAGGAGGAAGAGAGCTACTCGCGCCTTCCGCAACCTTCAGCTCAGGCCTTCTTCACCTTTCTGCTTCCCGACCTCTTCCACCTTCACCCTTCTCACTGCCTTCACCATTGACAGCTCCCATATTTTCCTCCTATCCAGATCAAAACAACAACAAAATTAACAACAGCGCCGCACAAGGCCCCCGCGATGGCTCAAAATCAATATGCGGAATTCGACCCCAACTCAGCGCCTCAAGTCGTGGTACACGATGCCCCCGAGGTCATACAGATGGACAACCTAGGAACTGGCAACGACGGCGTCGTTGAACCGGCCCGGGACAATTCAGTAGCCCAACCGCCCCAGGACAATCCAGGAGCTTTAAAGGCTTTCTGCCAAAGTCTGGCCCGTCACAACAAGATGCTAATCTCCATCGTCGCCTTACTACTGTTGGCCACTGTCCTTCCTGTCGTCATTATTAAGGCCATTCTGAAGGCACAATGGCCTCCGCCCAATTCTCCGGGAAGCGAAGGCACGCCGACGACTTCCACACCCGAGATTTCGTCCTCCATCCCCCTCCCAACACCCTCCTCTACTCTCGCCCCAGTAAGCCAGCCACCTTTCCTCTGCGGGCCCGCCTATATTGGTTTCGTACTCATGCCATCATCATTCGGTTGCTAATTAGTACGGCAGGCCCCTGAATGCAACTCATCCAAGTTCCTTCGCGACGTTAATTGGATAGGCATCGACAACGGCGTCGGTTGGAACTTTACGTTGACGTCGGCCCAGAGCCCCCAGGACTGTTGCGCCGTTTGTCACCAGAGTGTTCCAGAGGGCTGCAACGGCTGGCTCTACGTCAAGACGAACACGAATACCCCAGCATGCAACATCATACCCGGCTTTCCTGGTCCAAATAAAACCAAGTCTTGTCCTTCAGGACGACCAAATCTCGTCTTCAGCAACAACGGAGATTTGCCTCCCGGCCAAGGAGGACTAGGACCCTGTGCCGACGAGGTCCGCAACTGACTGACAGACATGTTGAAGGCGAGGCTAACAACAAAAATGATGGGGAAAGAGGGCCAACGATATCATTCAGCTTCATCTTGTAGATAGCCGCCCATTTACGAAAACGTTTTGGGTCTTCGGTGTGAGACAGGGTTTATAGAACACGAATGCTAGGAATAGCGTTTCGAGCAAGCAGTAATGAGAACCATTCCAACTGATTCAAGACGGTGGTGTGATGACAGCTATTCGAATCCAGACCACACAGCACCCCCGGGCGGGTCATAAGACGTGCGTCCTCCTTGGTATATGTCGATCTGGAAATACACGAAGTTTGCATTAGCCGCGGTTGAAACTTTCTAAGATTAGCCACTCACGGTGATGCCAGGGTCATTCTGCGGCGCGTATCCTGGTATGCTTTTCATGAAGGGAGATGGAGGCTGCGCCGTGCCGGATCCCTCTATCACAACTTGCGCACACTCGGCGTAGAATTGAGGGGTATTGGCTTGGTGGAGAGCGAGCAATTCGTGTCGAAGGAGGTATTTTCCAGGCTTGAGGTTACTGGGTATCTTGTTCGACCATTTGAGCTGCTTAAGCACGATTGCTGTCCCCCAATTTTCGCTGTTGAGATTACTGCCCCAGAGACCCATTTGATCGATCTTGAACCAAGCCTGCTTGTCACCTCTGCAACTCTTGAAATCGCCACCGCAATCGTACAGCCAGACCATCACAGGACCCTGAGCATGAGTCCACTGCTTCCAATTAGCTGTAATATTGGTGCCTACTTTCAAGGTTGCCGTCAGGTCTGCTGAACTGCCGCCATTGCAGCGCATTTTTATATCATTGACGTTCATCGTGGGGTTGTAGTCGGGCTGTGGTCTTGGAATCAGCCAGTAATACCGCGGGTCTTCCTGTGGGAGACATAGGTTTTAAATACCCATTGCCATTGGATCGTCGGCGGAGATGTCGCTGGAGCAAAGCCCTCATACCCTGGGTGAACCTTTCCATCAATGGTGTAGCTCGTGACTGCACCGTGGCATGAGACAGTGGGCGCCAACCACAACAAAGAAACCACGATTTCGACGCGCATGATGGAAGCTATGGTCATACACGACTTGAAGTCACGAGGATAACGATGGTGAGATTTTCTGCGTTCGAGTGAAAAAACCACGGACTCCTTTAATAGATGAGATGCCATTGCTGAGCGATATCACCAGGTACATTTCCCCCTCATCTTCCATAGTGTTTCTGGTCCTTTTTACCGGCTTTTTATGCAGTGACCCTCCTCAACTTGGAAAATTGTTCCGCTGATACATGAAGTTGATATTGAACCAGCCAGTTACCGGCACCGGCAGAAGAGGAGGAATTATCCCGTCCAGGCAGAGTATTAATCCATCCCGATCAGCACTAGTAACATACCTACCTACCCTTGCCATTCTTCTCAATTTTCGTTACTTGTATCCGATCGCATCACAAAGCTCTAACACATATTGCGGCCCAAATGATCTAACGATGGCAGACCGGTGAGTTGCTCCTAAGAGAAAATACTGAAGGGACGTAGCATTGCCAGCGCCGAGGTATCAACCTACTTCAAACCGGGAAGTCTCCGCTACTCGATGGTTGAGCTGCCGCATGATGATAGAACCACTGAGGCTTGCCGTGAAAAGTGAAGTAAAAATAAAAAATGAAAAAATGACGTGTGCCCTTCAACATGGCTGAACCCACGGCAACAGGCTAATTCGGGGCCGAAGCACACCCTGTGATACACGGTCGACTCCCTCGTATTAGGCTGAAAGGGTTGTGAGGCGGGGAGAAGCCTATTCAATAACATCTTCGTTCGTAAAACCTGCTGCGGGGATGGAAGCCCCTTTCCCACCTCGCGATTAGGTTCGACGCCATAAAGAATAATGGGCACGATAGTGGATGGACATATCGGTCACACGGCCGTTAGTTTTTGCCAGCCCGATGAACTGACCTAACAACAGTGGTACCTTTATGGCCGCAACTGACCTCCTCGACTGTGTACGGGCCAGTCTTTTACTTGTTCTCGGCCGCGAACACGGGTGGTTGGAGCATCGCCGTGGTTGACTTACACACCTAGAAGCCATCTCCCGCCATATTTGCTTGTCGTCACAGGGTTTGGCGCCACCCGAGATATAATTCCACCGGGAATGACTTCGATATACTGTTGATCAGGAAGTTAAAATTTCGCTCGCTATTGAACTTTCAACGCCAGCCCCGAGGCCACAAGGTAGGCCAGGCTGTTCCGCAAGAAGCTCAGATGCCCGCTCAACGACTATAAAGATCGTTCACGATTCCAGGAATCTTGCCTCGACTCTTTCACTCAGCAGGATTATCTTACCGCAGGAAAAAAAATCATCTGATCACCTTCTATTCTCACAGAGATCTTTTTTACCTTTCAGCCAAGCCCCGGTAACCTAATCATCATGAAATTCTCCATCGTCGCCTTTCTTGCCGTTGCTGCTGGCATCGCCACGGCTCAATCGCTGAACGACGCCCCTGCCTGCGCGAGGCCTTGCGTTAAAAACGAGTCCAAAATCAGCAATTGTCCCGTCACCCCCCCCAAGTGTCTCTGCACGAAGGCGGATAAGGAGCGTCTTATGAAGTGCATTAGGCAGAATTGCAGCAAGGAAGAGGTGAAGAAGTGCCTTGGACTCGCCGTGCAGGCCTGCCACGAGTAGAGGAACCAGTGTCATTGCTGGGGGGAGGCATCTGAAATCTCGCCATCAGACTGACTGCCTCGCCTTGAAGCCGAGGATGCTGCAACGTCTTGTCTTCCTTCGTCGCACGTGCTCAATGGTACGTATACAACCCCCTGAAATAGATGAGAAGCTCATTGTGTTAGTTACAGACGAAGCTGCGGGATACTTGCAGCGCTCTGGTGGCTAATCGTAGGGTTATTGATTGAAGGCAAATGGTTCGAGGGATCGACGAGGCAGACTGGGGGCCGTGGAGGCAGCAGTGGTCAATGCAGACTTCGTCTTGTTATATTCTTTCCAAAACCAATCAAAGCTCTTGCTCCAAGTCCTTATTTCGGGCTCAGTTCCGTCATTGTATTGAAACTCGAGTATCTGCATACCACGAAGTACTCTTTGTAGAGTTATCGAACCAGCATATGAGGCCGCTCCATAGCCTTAGTGGTCACCTCGCGTGTTTATTCACACCACGGGGACAAGGGAAGAAGAAAATGGCGCCTGTATGATGGCTGTGAATATGCATCCGTCAGCGCTTCCTTTCGGTGTTCACCAATCAGCAAAGAGGGATTTTGTCGAATAGGTCGTCATAGAGTTTTCCGACCCAGCCTGTTGTAAGTCCTTCCCTAGCAACGATTCCCAAACCACCGGCGGCCCAGACAACAAATGCGCCAAAAGTAGCACCGTGAAGGCCCCACCATATCATCCTCCTTTGTTGTCTTGTCTTTTTATCGATCACTTTGGAGCCGCTACCGCTCCAGCCCATGGCTGTCGGTGCATACCCCAGCCACTTTGCTGCCCCCCAAACCATATGGCCACATCCTACAAGCAGAAGCCCAGTGTAAGCTAGCCATGACAATGTCGGAAGGCGGGCAAAGCCATGTGCGACAAATGCCAGACCAATGTTCGAGCTGTCGCCCTCGACCTGGAGGGGCAGTACACGATTTACGCCAACATGAGCGGCCAGAAATACCGCGAATGCATATCCTGACGCCGAAATGTAGCTCAAAGGAGGCCATATGCGCGCCGCCGAGCCCGAGCTGTTGTAAGCTGTTGTCCGAGACATCTTGCCAGTTTGGGCCCGATACAATGCATACATGCCAGGAGTGTTTCCTCCATAGCGGTGTAAGTTTTGGGAACGCCGGGCGAAACGGAGAGCGACACCAGACGCAACGTGGGCGACAATTGGTAAGGCGACGAGCAGGGGCTCTGTTAGAGAAGTCTGATAAATCTCCCGGGATTGCAGCAGATAAGTCTCAGAAGCAACAACGGAGCGCGCAACCAGGGGAATGATGGAAGTGTTGGCAAGATGTATGGAGGTGAAAATTGGCACCAAGTACGAGGAAAACTTTTGAATGCGTGTAACTGGACAGAGAGCGGTTAGCATTCGCGAGATAGCACATGTCAATAGGCAGTCAGTTTCGTCAGAAGCAAGGACATACGGTAAAAAATGGTTCCATGTCCACTGCCACTCAAACCTGGGGCAGACGAAGTGGATTTTAACGAGGAAACGCTGTCCTCAAGAGCATCTTCAGGAAGAGGAGGCAGATCCTTGTCGGTATCCGCCGGTGGTGTTTCTATGGGGGAGGGATCTAAATGAAGAAGCGATATCAGGGTCTCTTCGGACGCCTTGGACCGAAGTGACCTTGAATCCATGGCGGCGATGGTAGGGATGCCGCCCGCCAGTTGCCACAGCAAGGCGCAGGCAATGAGGTGCTGGAAGCCAAGAGACGTGGTCGTGGCAGATGCACCAAATGGCGGGCTGCTAGAGGGGACGAGACGAGGAATTTGTGAGGTTGTGCAGTGGCCAGGAGATGTAAGAGGTGCCGTGCTGCCCAATTTCGGAACCTCGCCTCCAAGTCACCTTACCCAGACAGTATCGGACCAAATAAGCTGGAGAGAAAAGAGTAGAAGCGTCCCGTCCTGCCTAGCTGACTATTTCTCGGCGCGTCATAGGTCGCAGGGACCCAGGCTGGTGGGGTTACATGGCTCCATCCGGGGACACTGGAGCCGCACTGCACTTCCACGTCCGGTGCACGGGCACGACGGGCAACTTGCAAGTTTGAGTACCTTAGGTACGTACTTCGTACGGATACCTTAGGTGGTAAAGTCGTCTACCTTATTAAACGGCCCCCTTCGCACGGCGCTTAGCTCAACACACTTTGGCCTACTTCAACTTACTTTACCAGCGTACAGCTTCTCAACACACACACCACACGTATTTCAGCCATCTTCTGACCGCACACAAACAAAATTTTCAACGGACTCGCTGCCGCCATGCCTCCTGTCAGTGAACTGCGCGAAGTTCGGAAAATATCGATGCAGTCGTGACTAACCCACACCCTTCTGCAGCGACATCAGACATTGCCTCCGGCCCAAACATCTTCTGCGCGCGAAGCTCTTCAATCTTTCTACTGCAGCCTCTGTTCCAAAGGCTACTCCCGCATGAACGACTATGAGGCGCACCTTAGCAGCTATGATCACAGCCACAAACAGCGGCTCAAGGACATGAAAGCCATGGTGCGCGATCCGACTGCCGGAGCCAGAGCTCGCAAGGCCGAGGCCAAGGCTGATGGGCTTGTCAGTATCAAGCTTGCATCGGCCGAGCAACCAACACCAGCAACCACAGCGGGGGGTTTCAAGAAGGGTGGGTTCAAGAAGTCAGGCTTTAAGTCGGCTTTTACATCCATTGATACGTCCGCGGTGGCGGGGCAGGACTCTCCAAAGTCGAAATTGGACCAAGTTTTTAAGGCAGGTAGGCTTGGCCGGGAACGAGACTTTGAGTGTGAGAGCGAAACAGATGAAGAAGGCTACCAACCATACGACCCAAGGCACCCGACGGACTGAACTCTGAGGAGCGCACCACACAAGACTGACTCCGTACCGGGCCGGCTCTCGTCAACGACCTGTTCCGCATGTGCTGCAAGACCAGGCGACGCGACAGGCGACGGGCTTGATTCGTCATCGTCACACGATTTGCCAAAGGTTACCAAGTCTCGAGACATGACCGACAGAGACTCAGAGGGAAAATCTTCGCGCGAAGCGCCATTCTTCTCAGGCCCCGAGAAATTGCACTCAGACACCATACACATCCTATGCAGGCCCTACCCTTTGGGTCCCCTTTCTGTTGTGACGGACACATTCTAGTTCCAACTAAGTGAATTGAGATAAGTCCTCCTCGAGTAGCCCCATCATGTACTGGCTTCCCGAGAACCAGTTTCCTAGCTGCGCAGTTTGCATTGTTGGCTGAGAAATACCGCCGGTTTCGATCCCTTGGATGGGAAATTCGGTCGGTGGGAACCCAAGCGCGCTGAGGTACACATCGAATTCATCATTTATGGGACCTCTCTCCTCCGATTGCTGCGACTTTGTCTCTACGTAGAGAACCGCCACGTTGTAGAGCATCTGGCACAGCTGGTGTAGCTTTTCCACCGGTTCTGATAGCGCGCAGGCTGGTCGCAGAGAGGCAACAAAATCGTTCAGTCGCTTGAGGTCCTCCGCACTGGACGTATCGATCACGTGACAGAAAAGTACGAAGAACGGTGTGAACGGCGTCAGCAATATCGCCCTAGCGCATGGGGAGGGATGTCAGAAACTCTTTATCACAATAATCGTCTGCGGTGTCATACCAATGGATATAGACGGCTTTCAGGTGACGCCCCTCTTCGGCGATTCTTTGCATGCATTCAAGATGCAATTGCATGGCAAAACGAGCTGTCTCGATGCACTCCTGTGAGAACCGGGTCGAGGATCCTTCGGGGGCGGGAAGGGCTCGATATATCAGGGTCAAGGTTGACTGAAAGGTGAGCTCGTCGCCACGGAGATGGATGTCTAGAATAGACGATGCATTGAGCGCTTTCAGGCCGAAAAGTGCCTGTTCCCGCACGTGTGAAGCCGCGGCCATGATGCTCTTTTGCTCGGCCTCAAGACGGCGAACTGTTTCCAGGCGCTCCTCTTGAGACTGGCCCAGAGCCAAAGGGCTATACCTGTAGACCGGTCAGTTGAATATCGCGAAAGTCGATTCGGAGAGCTCAACAGTTGTTCATAGACCCGGTGCTGGATCTCGGCTTGTTTGATCCACGTTGTAATAACGACTCCCCATGGATCCGCCACCATCGTGTTGTCCACTCTCCTCGGCAGCGTGACGTCCCAGTCTTGGATTACAGAAGCTCTTCCTGTCCTCAAAGACAAGGTTTTGTCTAGCATGTATACGTGCCAGAACAGCAAGGTTTTGATGTCTCTGGGGCCAGCGCTTTCGCTCCTACTCTGCGAAACGCGGTGGTATCCTAACGTTTGACAGAGACTGGCAGCAGTAGAGGTGAATAACCAAGCAAGAGAGGCTTTCGATACATCGACCGCATACACAGCCTGTTTATCATGTCATTCTCATGTGATCGACAATATTAGACTGAGGTGTACGAGGACTCACCGCCACGAGCAGAGCCTCGATGCTTTCCACCTTCGCCGGCAACATTAAGGGCAGACAAGCCAAGGCTGTTTCCAGATTATTTTGACACATGTATTGATACCTCTCAAATTCCTCTCGTGCAGTGGCATCGGAAGCCAGGTATGCCTGCTCCATGAACAAGTAAAAGAGGGCACCATTGACAATGATGAAAGTGGTGTCAGCGAAGGTGTCAGTGCAGAAGTATACCCGACGACAGAGCTCTGCCAGATCGTCAACATCCAAAAAGGAGCACGCCAATGAGAAGATTCCCGGGGGAGAAGCTATGTACCACATTAATTATGAATTTCCTGGCTACAGTGCGATGGCGGCTGGTTACTTACCTTTCATGTGTTTGAGCAAGGCAACTACAGCATTCATAGGCGGCATGGGTAGATCAGGCAGGCCACCAGGAGGGAGAGGCTGCTGCGAGCGAAATCGGAACTCTTTGGTTGACGAAACCTTGTTCTGCATGGAAACGATCTGGCGCAGGGATGAAAGAGCGGCGTGCATATTTGGTGGGACATCTTGAAGTGATGTTCTCTGCACGGCATTTTCGATGAAGTCGCTGGCAAACATGGTGTGGGCCGTTAGTGACAGGTCCCCCTCAAAGGCAGAATCTGAGTCTGCGCCGTCCTGAGTGAGCGCGGAGGCATCCCCTATGGTCGAAGCTGACGGGGTGATGTGCCTCGCCCTAGTTGGGTCCCACGAAGGCGCGCTTCCAGGGTTTGTAAGACTCCTCAAAAGCTCCTCAATGTTCGACAGCCGTTCCTCGATCAAGTCGATCTTCTTTTCACTGTGGGTTTGAACGCATCCCGCGTCAGCTTTGGACAACCGGTTTCTTACACACGCGATTCGGAAATATGCCCGGGGAAACCCCTCGTTGACAACGGCATTTCGTGAAGTCTGGACTCGGGACAGGATGACGAAGGGACCGATAACGGGCAGGGGATTGGCGTACTATTGAAGGGATATGAGGACGCGATGTCTCTGTTCTTTTGGCTTCTGGCCAACGCCGTTTGAGCTGCAAGGGCGTTGAGTTATGCGGCAGTTGGAGCACGGCGAGCTTTTATCACAGCGGATCTGCAACCGAGGCCACAGTAGGCCTAGTGTCAGTCGAAACGATACACCATTCACTCACATAGAATAAAATGATTAAAGAAAACTTGGGAACTATGATAGGGGGGAGGGCGGGTGGCGATGCAGAACAGCATAGGTGTCCAGATCTTAGGAGGTTGTATAGAGCAGGAACGAGAAGTAGATGGAACCGGACTACCAACTTTGCGGGTACGACACTGATCACACTATATGGCGAGAAAATGGATTAGCCTTAGTCAAGCGGACGAGCAAGAAAGACGTAGAGCGACAGGAAGGCAGTGGTGAGTGGTGTAGAAGCGAATGGGTTGTCTGAATGTGGACATACTGCTCGACGGAGGCCCTGGTCATCGGGGCCCGCGGACCGGGAGTCTGATTCCATCCTCAAAGAGATGGCACTGAGCCGCGTTGTGCCGTGTTAGTACTGCGATGTCTAGCAGACTTTGATTTTCTCTGCAGTTATGCTGCAGGCTGATGCACTTTGTCGTCGTGGTACGCGGGCCCTGAGCTGAGCCTGGACGGAGCCGGGTGAGAAGCGCGGGCAAGGAAGGGCGTAAGCGTCGATAGGAGGGACGGAGGGTGCAGACGAAGGCGCTGGAATAATGGTCCCGGCGGATAGGAGAGCGGGCGGGCGAAATGGAAGGGTTATTATCACTGTGTCGTTGATGCGGTTAGATTGGGCCACGAGCAAGCCAAACCCATAGTCGATTGCCTCTGCTTCTCAGCAAAGTTCTCTGGTGGCTGGCTCACTGAGCCAACAGTGTGGACGGACAATGGGCATCGCCAGGAGTGCGGACGACCGGGGGCGGTGCGATGTAGTGGGCCCTGCCTAAGTAAGGTCCGAACGAGACCTACCTACTTTACCTAAGGTAACTGAGGTACCTACGAGGGAGGAGGCAGGGGTTGTGGCGAGTGAAGCTGTCTGCACCTTAATTATTTGATTACCTCAGGTAAGACAACCTATTTTATGATTTGCTCCTCACTCTCAATCTCTTACACACTGCACGGACACCCGCGGGTGCCCGAGGAGTGGACGGCATCTCGCTCAACTCACCACACAATGTCGACTACCGCGCAAGCAACATATGACGCATTGAACCATCGCCCGTTCCTTCCATCTCGCGGTTTTCTCACCTTTGCTTAAGCTTTCGTCCGCGCTTCAAGAGTTGTCGCACCAGCATTACCCGCAGCGCAGCACCAGCCACGCTCTTCTACCAACATCTCATTCCCTGCCTTGCCTGTCGAACCCGAGTGGACTCCACCATGTCCGAGATGCTCGCACATCCGCCATCATACCGACCAGAGAAGTGGCAGGTAGCTCGCCGGCAGCGTACCCATGGAGTGACAAACTGCTGCAGTTGCCGGCAAGGACAGGGCCACTTGTTCTCCAGATTCTAAACTCAAGAACATTACGAATGTTCGTAACTTCGCAATCTTCCGTCCAGCCGAAACTCTCCTATTCATGTTTGCGCCGGACGTGCTGAACCGAGGCCCATCTGATTCGTCAGCTCCTGTGCGCAGACCAGTTCAGCAAATCCGTGAGAACTATGAGACAAACCAACGTGGACCCCTCCCCGTTCGCAGTGTGTCGTGACGATGGGAGCAGCCATCAAATTTCCGCTCAGCCTCCGGATCGGGATCGGGACCCGGCCCCACCCCGGATCGGAGGTCAACCCCTGGGTAATACCGGCATCAGGCGTAATGGGTGAGGTCTCGTAATCAGTCAATCACTCGCTATGACAGAAACTTCGCGGTTGAAAGAGATCACCGGTCGCATCTAGAAAGACGAGCCCACCGGTTCTTCCTGTGGGCTCGCTGTCGTCGTCGTCGTCGTTGTTGTCGTGGCCTCCATCGTTAGTCTTATTGCTCCTACTATCGTTTCTATGACTGATACAACTATCACCGTCGTCTCGGTATACTTGGACTTGCTATCGTGATTCATCAATCTACAAAGTATTAAAAGGACATAGCCGCGCAGACACAAGAAATTTAGAGGCGGTCTCTAAAAGCAAATGTGCCTATCTTATCTTATCGCTTATCTTATCTCATCAGACGTTGGAGAAGTCCCGCCCGCCCGTGGCGCCCATCTCTGACACTTTAATAGGCTGTGCATTTCGCCCGTCTTCAATGCAGCGTCGGCCTCTTGCACTCCGACACAAATACCCTCCCATGCCGCATCGAGGGAGCAGGTGTGATGCAGCGTAAAAGACGTCAGCCGTCGCAGTCGGCGGGCATGGATGGCTGGTCACCGCTCCCCAAACGTGCGCGGCTTACCGCGTCACCTCATAACGTCTCCAAGACACAGTCGGTGTTCGTCGCAGGAGATCATCTTTCCGCTCTATCCGACGAAATTCTCGTCCGCATCTTATCGTGTTTGTCGACATCAGATCTGCTGCGCATAGCGCCCCTATCCCGTCGTTTCCATCGTCTTTCCTCTGATTCACAACTGTGGCGGACGCTGTATTATCATCGCTTCGTCCTGCCTCGCGCCCTACGCATACCTGGTTTCCGCGATGGCTCCGCCAGGGAAAGCGCAAAGGTCAATTATTCTTCTAGGCGAACGGTATTGGCCGATGGTGGCTGGGGTCGCAGGGGCGGATCGGGGGAATCAGTCGACTGGAAACGCCAGTACAAACTGCGACACAACTGGGCCAGAGGGACGGCAACGGTCGAAGAGCTGAACGTCGGAGACACGTCTCTCCGATGTTCCTTGACAAGTAGGACACTGGCCAAAGTGACCGAAGGCATTGCCGTCACTGTTGATGGTTTCTCTGGGCTACGGGCTTGGGACCTCAAGACAAGGGAATCAATCGCCCAGATCGGTCTGAATGATGGGAACGTCAAGGCTGCCCCGACATGCATTGCTGTTGATGATCAAGCGCTTGAATCAAGGAGACTTGGCGTGGTAGTTGGGTTCTTGGATGGCAGTTTCGGCGTCTGGCAGCTCCATCTCGAAGAAGGTCGCTTTTTGAGGAGATACAAGCAGGAAAAGTCCACCAATGGAAAGTTGGTTGAAATAGCGTATCGACACCCCTTTGTTTTGACGGCCACAGAATCAGTTCTGATATCGCTGTACAACTTCCAGCAACCATCTCTGAAACCAACCAGCGAACATGCATGGCAAAAGAAAGAAACGGGGTCGGATGAAAGTGAGGTTGAGGCAGGTTCCGAGAGCGCCACGCTTCAAGGAACAGAGTATGAAATGGAACAATACATTCCGAAGAAGAGCCGGTCTTCAAAGGCAGCAGACAGTCAGGATGGTGAGCGAGCGGTGGTATCTCTTCAAGCCCCAGTTCTGATGACATCTCTAAAGTCACATTCATCGAGGGCCCCGTTGGCATTATCTATCCGGCAGACAGCATCCTCAACCATCGCATCAATTGCTTATACTTATTCCACTCGAGAGGGGTGGTCTATCGGTATTCAGGACCTTCACATACGACGACACGGTGTGGGTGGATTGTCTACAGCCGAAGTCATGTCCACGCGACTTGCTTTCACGACCTCGATCACGGCTTCTTGTTCAACTTCAATGGGCTCTGACAGAGACGACTCAAATGCCCAGGCGCCGAGTGTGCAAGTGGGATGTGGACCGACAGCCCTCTGTTATAACCATCCCTATCTCCTGGCAGCCATGGCGGACAACACGCTGATCCTCTACGTCTGCACGTCGAACGCCACAAAGCTTTCAGTATCGCCAGGCATCCGTCTCTGGGGACATACTTCAGGCATCAGTGACGCGGAGATAACGGCACGGGGTAAAGCTGTCAGTGTCAGCAGCCAGGGAGAAGAGATCCGGGTCTGGGAACTCGAGGGACGGGTCAGTGGGAAAAGCATCGAAGTTCGACCCAACTCAATTGCAAATGACGCCCTCACATCGGCGTATGGACCCTGGTCGGAACCAAGTTCAAGTCGATGGAACGACCGACGCAGTTGGGTCGGCTTCGATGACGAGATGGTCCTCGTGCTGAAGGAAACAAGTGATGGCAGGGAAAGTCTCATGATGTACGACTTTTCGTGATACCGCCGGCGAGGAGTTACAGTTGTGCCCAGCAAGGCTACGAGGTTACATTTTGAATACCGTTAGGCAGCCGCCGAGCCAAGTCTGCCGCCTGCTGCCGATGGTAAGAATCTGAAAGCTTTGTCGCTAGCGCCAGCCAGGAAGTGCTGGAAGTCTGATCTTGGTTTTGCCGCGCGGCCTCTCTTGACTGCCTTTTTCGCAGAGTGATTACGGTCATGCCGGCGTGGATGTCTACACATGCCTTCCCGAGGTGCTACCCACGGACTATGACTCTACGAGAGAGGATTCTACCCTCAAAATTTGGGAATAGCACACTGCAAGACTTTCGTTAGGCTCGGCTAGGATGCGACTTGCTGGTTGTTAGACCATCACTGGAGCATGTGCTTCTCTGTTGGCAACGAGAAAATGAATGGCTAGGTCCAGTGGACGCCATGATCATTGTGAAGATCCTACTGAGGACCAAAAATCGTAGGCCTCTTGGACGTCTGGCATATTTCACTCGCCAATTCGTTGTCTCGCCTCAAAAACGGATCACGAGCAGGCGTGGTTGCTACCGCGAATTGGGAAGAAATGAGCGAGGGCTCGCAAGAGGTCAACCCGCACTTTATGAAAGAATATGTAAGTACATTCGCAATTTCGCAACGATGACTTGGTTCAGGAGAGGTGACAAACTTGCGCCTGAAGTTAGCAGGCAGACACAGAATCAACCCTATGATGATGAAGATCCAGGCCTTGTCGCAGGGATCCACACCATGCGTCCGCTTGTCAACAATGCCGCCGATGGGATTTCCATAATGTAGACGTGCATTTGTTTCGAACTCGGCCTGGGCTCAATGAAGAATTCTCTCGAGTAGTTGATGACCAGTACACCTTCTTATAGACCCTGTGGATGTGACAACAAGACAAGAAATGCACACGAGAAAGGCCCTAAACGTGCGGGGAAGCAGGCAGGGAGAGGGCTGGGTTGCGCAGATACGATTGATAAGATTAGATCTGGTCTTGAGCGGCTGATCAAGCTTTGATGCTCAAGCCTGTTCAGTCTCCCAAAGAAACATTCTTAATATTTTTTTATTTTTATTTTTACCCGTGCGAGGATTGGAGAAAAGTCTTGTCATAGGTCGGGCGAATCGCTCTCCTCGCCAGGCCGTGAACGACGCATTTGCGATATGACGGACCGCGCATGCTCACCACTGTGAGCCTGATGTATAGCATACCATGGGAAACGGGTCGGCAAGGGTCCATCTGAGGACTAGTTTCGACGAGACCTCTCTTCTGAGAAACCTAGAGACTTCTCTATACATTTCAGACTTGCTGGATAAGGCAGGCCGGTTCTGTGCAAAGACATTGAATTTCGGGCGAGAAGCACAGCCAAAGTACACCATTGGAAATGGGAGTACGCTTTGACATGTGAGATTGATATGCCCCTCACTTGGTGGATGGTGGCCTAGCTTATGGAATTGACATAGGGCTGGCGGAGAGAAATAGAGGGGTGATAAGGGTAGGGTGGCCATGCCCGCGCTATCACTGCTTCTTCAGCAGGCGACTTACGCAGTCCTGTACACGGAGTTAGTTGGATGGGCTTTCTGCAATGCGAATTTAACTCGAGACGGCATTGTTGCGTATCGCGCGTCTCACCAAAATCCATGACAGAGAGCAAGGAGGCACAGGCCAACGAACCCCTCCCCAAGCCCCATTGACTTTGATCCTACCCCTCTTTGAACCCCTCGTCGCGTTGGAACTGGAACCAATTCCCATGATCAGATCACTGCGCCAAAGGAGGAGACAGTTCCATGGACGGATCGCTATCAGGCGATTACGAACAAGCTATGCAGAACTACAGACAAGACGGGCTCGCTCTAGCTAAATCACTGCGAATTGGGGTTGGAAAGGCGGGCAATTCGAGGCACGAAGCGCCGTCGTGCCGTTTCGTCCGTTCTAATCACCGCTCACCAAGTTCCGGCGGCGCGGGTCGGTCATCCCACGAGACCACACGCCGCAGGCTGTGGAGCGACCAACCAGCCTCCCCCGCCTTTGCGGTTGATGGAGGTATCAAGGATGGTAGCAGAGAAGATGGATGGGCAGGAGGGTGGTTAGGCAGGTCATGTGGCAGTCATTGCTCACACCCAAAGGGTGTAGTGGTCGTCCATCCATGTAAAGGAAGACGGTCCAAGGCAATCCTAACGCTGTAAGGTGTACGGGCACAGGCCACTTGGTTTAGAAAGCGATACGCCTTGTTATCGCCGTAATCAGTGTCGATCGATATTGCGCAAGTGACACACCCTCTACTACAGACGGGCGCGTGCTGTCGACGGCGCCCGTTCCCACTGTCGATAAGCCTCTAGAGCCTGCCGCAAGTGAGACATTCAGCACCAGGATGTCAAGGAGAGAGAACAAACACGGCAAAGGTCACCTTGTTTTCCCTCCAACATATAAGCTACATTAACTTCTTTTCCAGCCGCGGCGTGCTTGTTTCTCGGGGCGGCATTGAAAACTCGAGTTGTTTCTCCCTCTCCGCTACCCGCGAGAACCGCGAAAGAGGGCCGGGTTGTTTCGCCTTGCGCTTCGACAGATGCTCAAACAAGATGCACGTCGACTTCTCGCATTGCCCATGGCAAATTCAGGATGGGCGAAGTCCGTTGTGACTAGGTCACCCCACCCCCCATTGGCTAATGATGCGCATATTTTGGGACCAGATCCCCCCATCAGCAGGCTCCGGATCTGTCGTGCTGCAGGTGCTCCGACGGGTTCAATGCCAGATTTTCTCAGGGTTTGTGGCCACCCCCAATTTGAACCATCAGATTGCCTCTGACAAGGGTCCAATGGCTGGCGCGCTGGTCGGAGAAGTTGGTAGACGACCATGGAAGCGCTGCGGCAAAACGGCTGGCATGCGCAGCTTCTCATGAGGTACATGGTAGGTAGTGACGGCCGCAGCTGGATACTGGAGGAAGCCAGCAACATGACAGGGGCAACGCAGGGCCGAGAGATCTAGACTTTGCTTGCATTTGTATTCCTAGCCTTTGTGCCTCTCACGGGGAAATGGTGCAGTCGAACCATGGAACAGTACAGAAAGTTATTGTGGGGCAGGAGAGGAAAGAGAGAGACGGTTGCTGGTGAAGAAGGCCGGGACGGTTAGAGGCGCTGGCTAAGGCACCTTCGCCGTGCTTTGGTGTCGTGCCTTCCAAGGTTCACTGCTGGGGGGGGGGGGGNGGGGGGGGGGGGGGGTTCCACAGATGGTGGAGGTATCCGTACCTTCGTGCTGCAAAAGATACATGCACAGGCTCGCGGGATACTTCTGAGCTGCCAACGGCATGTCTACCTACCTTAGTACAGATACAGATACATCCCTTCCTTATCGCTTGCGCTCCCCAGCTGTGACGTCTTATCGATAAGTAGCAGTGAAGCTAAGCCCGGGCAGGGGTCAAACGTCTCGAAATCATGCGCCAACCACGACACTTGGATGGATAAGGTAGGACCACGACGGGACCAACGATGGAGACCTTGTCCCTTGTCGCAGTTTTCCTTGTGACTCACACATTGAATACATCACCAATTCGACGAATCTTTTCGTTTCTGAGTAACTCTGGGAACAGAAGAGTCATTCGGGCCGCGCCAGCTACCTACTCTAGGTGCCACCGTGAATGGTAGACATTGCCCGACCCAGAGTACCTGGACACCGTGCAATGGTCACCTCACCTTGCGAGAAACAAAGCCACTCTCACGCTAAATGCCATTTCCAAGGCAGAAACAGTCACAGACAGACTCACTCATTGATATCTGATTGGCTGGTGTCAATTCCATCAATTGACGGCTGAACATAGTCCGGAGCCCTGTGAGTGGGAGGCAGCCCGTCGCTGCCAGCTTACCTGACCCCGCGTCTGCACAAAGCCCAGCCATTAAGGTAGTTAGTTCGTTTCCTCAGGCGCTTGTTGCATTGCGCAATTGAGCGGTCAACAAGCCCCTCATTGGACAATTGCACAATTGCGTGGCGACCGACCCGAGTGTCTACCAAGTACATCGGCCCCCATCGTCCCCACGGCTTCGTTTGTTACGCCTCTGCCACGCTTCCTGCATCAATTGGCAAGTAAGGGCACAAGAGACCAAAGCATTGTGTTCTCCACTCGGCAATTACACATGTGCGTGTTGGACGGAGGGCTGCTTCCAATGGCCAGAGCTACCGGACTCCTACCGCCATGCCTCTGCTGCGCTGCTGCTGCTGTTTTTGTCGTTGTTGCTATTGTCCGCGACGCCTGTCCCCTCTGAGGTGATGTCAGGCATAGACCCAGATGCAAGGCACCGTGATCCGAGCAGATTGGTTTCATGACAAGTGTCCCCTGCGCATCGTGCATTTGTTTGGGCCTTTCCGCCGCTGCGCTGGCCCCATTGGATGCGTTGGGCCACGATGAGTTGCATGACCGACAGAAACATGCGCGAATAGCCCCAGGGCCAATCGAGACTATGGTGCCTGCTTCCAGTATCGTTTTGCACTCGGCTTGTACAGCATCTTATCTCTGCATTTCTTCTTTTTCAATATAGTTCCACCTGATCAAAACAGTCGCCGTCGAGCTTGTAGTCACTGTCCGATGGGGCCACGCCTGTCCATAGATGGGGCCTTCAACAATAGTTCGGACCGGTATCAGAAGAAACATAGATCTAACCCAATCCGTTCCGAAATGAGGCGGGTAGGCTTGAGCAAAGTCCTCTGGCTTAACTGTCACCAGAAGCTTCGTGGTGCTTTCTCTCAGCTTCTTCCCGTGCCATCCCATGTTTTTGCTCGGCGAGGCTAAAGACGCCAACCCTCCCCCCCTTCTCTGTGTCATCGTCGTCAATCGCAACGCCATCTCAAGTCTCAGCCGCTCCAGCCTTGTCTACAGTTCTGCAGTCCCGGGCTCGTTCGTTGGCCTTCATGTCCCCCCCCCCCCCCAAAAAAAAAAAAAAAAAAAAAAAAAAAAAAAAAAAAAAGNTTTTTCCCCCCCCCCCCCAAAAAAAAAAAAAAAAAAAAAGGAAAAAAAAAAAAAAGGAAGGGAGTAGAGGAAGGGGCCTGGCTCAACGAATGGGACTTAGACCTTGGATCATCACGCAGACATACAGTAAGCCATGGATGCGCCGATATTCAGCCCGCGTCGCAACTCATTGAGGCCAAGCGGGATCTGTGGACTTTGCCAGCCAGGCACAGTGTCGGAAGACGTCTTGCCTATCCTCCGCCTACAAAGTGCAGTGAGGTGGATTGGTGCCGGGCGGCCACTTGGATTTTGTGCTCCAGCTTCACAATGGTTTGAACCCCTGGTCTTGGGTTCCGATCAGGCACCCAGCTATCGACTTCTAATGCGGCGGGTACGGAGAAGGTTTAGCTTCAAGGCCAAATATCATTGGGTTAAGGTTGGTGTTCAACTGGTGTGCCTCAAGAAAGTGCATCTCATTGGGCATTGAGCGACAACCCAGTGACTCTTTGTTCGAGGCCCGGAATCAGAGACAGGCTGTCACCCGCCCAACCCTCTTGACACACAAGCACACACACACTTGGGCTCGGTGCCATCAGATGGACCGTTCTTGATGCCATGCTGGAGCTAGGGGAGAGAGACAAAGTTGCTCTTGGACATAGCACGGCATTGCGGGAACGGAGAGGTCGTTCGTCATTTGATCTGCTGGGCGGGGCTGATTTGTTGGTCGAGCGCGCATCGACGGAGCCATTGCCATGTCGTGAGAAGCATACTGGCAACTCGTACGGAGTAGTAGCCTACCAAAGACTCTGGGCATAAGGTAGGTACGATGGTAGACGTGGTAGCACTGGTCAATTGACTCAAGGCAGAGTCAATTGAGAGCCAATGACAATGGCGATGCAAGTCTATGGGGACGTCAACCAGGAGACATGCGGTTTCTACACATACATTGCGCGGGCTTGTAGCTTTGAGCTGGCCAGACCTACTGCGTAGAAAGAGGACTGACTGCAAAGGACAGGCTGACGGGATAATTCTTCCTCTTCTTACATCTTACAAGCCGTGGCGGCGGGGGAGGGGCAGTGAGGTGAAAGACGGCGACTTTGGGCTATCCTTTGTTTGCAAATGGGATGCGGTGGACGAATTAGCTGGTGCTTTCGGTGGTGGCTTAAGAAAGTACGTCCAGCTCAGACAGAGGTACGGATCTGGTAGAGAGTGTACGTACACGATGCGCTCCATGCCCAAAAATACCGATTGAGTGAGGGGCGCTGATGACTCTACCTAAGATAGGTGTCCATAGTAGGTGGCCATTCGAATTGACAAAATGCGGTAAGACGCTAGCTGCACCCCTCTGAGTACTCGGCAGGTATGCACAGCGGGGTGTGCATTTAACGGGGGAGGGAGTGGTGTTATGAGTAATCCAGATGGCCGAAGGGCTGCTTCGGGAGGACAGGCAGGTGGTCAAACGGGGGGTGGCGCGTGGGCAGGGCCCAGCCAGTCCAGTGACTCTTTCCAGCCAGAAACAGATGTCACGGTGCGCTAGGTAGAGGAAGGGAGGTCCCACTTTCCACGTCCACGTCCACGTCCACCTCACGTCCGCGCCCAGCACGGTCATGCACCGTCCACGTCGGTCCCGTCGCGCCTGCCCAAGGCAAAATGAGGTACATGGTAAGGTACCTTACCTTATGTAAGGTAAGGTAAAGGAAAGGTGCCGACCTTGCACCACCTCACACACCCCCAGACTGTCTGTCACTGCCTCGGTGTTTCCCATCTTTGCCATGCCCGGCTGCAGTCTCGTCTTCCGTCCCTGCCGTTCATGTTCGCTCGCTACCTTTCATACCTCTTGTACTGTAGGCCTCACTGCAAGTGGGTAACAGTTGTAAGATAGGTAGGTAGGTAGGTAACGACAGTCGAAGTTGGGGGATCCATATCCATGATGCAGTCTTCTCGTCGTCGTGTCTGCCTTCAGAGAGGTACCTACCTCCACGGCGAGGCGAGTGTAAAAGCAGAGCAGGGTACAAACAGTTAGAAGAGGGTACTTCTGGCACTTCCTATCAATGCGGCGAGGATCAGGTACTTTCGCTTGCCGCAAGCAGTACCTACCTACCTACCTCATCCTCCATACCTCTGGAGTGCAAGGTAAGGTATGGAGGGAGGTAGACTCAGGCTCCCACCTAAGCAAGGTAGGTCAGACTCAGCCCGACACATCAGGTACCTACCTTAGACACAGATCTGATGGAACCTACCTAGGTATCTAGTAGTGTGTAAGTAAGGTAGGTAGCCAGGTGCCTCCTACCTTCCCTCTTGACCCAACTCTTCCATCTCCTTCCCATCATCCGCTTTGCGCCAGGCTTCGCTTTTTCGCCTTGTTTCCATTCCTTCTTATTCTGCCCGTCGCTTCCTGTCCTGCGCTTCCTCGTACCGCTTCCTCCTTTCTCCCTTCTCTGCTCGTTTGCTGCATACATACCTACCTACCTACCTACCCGCACGTATTCTGCCCGTCCCAGTCAACCCGCGCAGGAAACCCGCTCTAAGCCTGTCTTATCCGTCGCCACACACCCACGTCTGCCTAGGTACCCTACCGTCCTTACCTCACCTTACCTCCCTACCTTACCTTACACATCGCCCGCTGTTGCCGCCACCAACCGCCCCTCAGCGCGGTATCAATCGACAACTCTTCACTCATCTCCCAATGCGCCCTCGCCCCCCCACAGGCCTACCGCTTTGCCATTGCTGAATCCATTAAAGTCAATGGATTTCCACCCTCTCGATCTATCGCACAAGTAATTGCATAGCATTACATTTCTCTTCCCATTGGCGACTCACCACGTCAGCGACCGGTCGCAGTAAGGCGACAATCAAGCAGTCTCCAGCAGTGGACGTCATCTACCGTGTCCAGGCACCGATACCTAACAACGACAACATCCCATTGACAACCTCAATTGCACCACAATCAATCCATCACCCAGTCACACCACTGTGAGGACGAGAGACGAAAGACGAAAGACCAGCTGCCAAATTCTCAATTGCGCCCTTCGTCACCAAGACACCACACTCCTCTTTCTTGATTCGGCCGTCTTCCTTTCTCCGAAACCCAATCTCACCTCCGATATCTCCATTCTCGCTTCGCCACCCCCGACGACATATTATGGCTGACAAACCCACCAATTCCATATCTTCCCACCATCCCGCCGCTTCCAACTCAGCTCAAATTATCCAAACCATTCCTTACAGCATGTCCAGATCGCAACCATCTACTTTTCCGTCCATCAACCAGACAATGGATGCCAATTACGCCAACGTCCCCTCTCAGCCCGCAGTGGCTCGGGACTCTACAAAGAAGGCCTTCGACATCAGTAGCCTCATGTCGCCTCCCGAAGCTCAGCCTTACGATAGCTTTTCACAAGTTCAACAGCACGCCTCGTCAGCATCAGTCATTCACCGAGGCCATGGGTCGGCTAAACCTAGTATGCCCATGTCCCCCCCTGTCTCGCCATACATTACAGATTCCGCAAATGCCCCTGCTCCCGACATTCCGGCGGGCATGTCAAAGGATCCTATCCTGTATCCTCGCGAGGAGACAGCATCGAGCCCAACCCAGCCGCCTCTGTTTCCCACGACCGAAGCGATCGAGCATCGCCGCATCGTTGACGAGCACATCGGCGCCCGCCCCCCGGGTCTCTTTCGCGAAGGTTCGCCTCCTCAACCAGAAGATTATGAGCTGCTTCTGCAATGCAAGTCTCAAGCAATCGAGCTTTTCAGCAGGGACAGAAAAGCCTGGTTCGAAAAGGAACGCGATCAAGTCAGGGCCGACCGCAAACTGAACAGCGCCCGCTGGAATAGCGTCGTGAGATATCAGACCATTGCCCCCGCCAAGTCCGTACCTGCCAAGACGACGAAGCCGCTCTCTGCCAGACCTAAGATTACTTCCTCTGCAAACCCAAAGACCGATCGAGTTGTGAAACCTTCGCAGACTCCTCGTCCTGCTCGCAATAGTCCTCCCACCCGGCATGTCCGTCGTATTAGTGCTACGCCGGACCCCACCCGCCGCGTTGTTGCTCCAAACAGAGAGGATCGCGATTTCGCAGCGTTGCCCGACTACTGCCCACCGGTATCTTCTCTGCCTGATAAGCCGAACTCTCTGAAGGTTGACTGGAAGGGCGCTCCCATCGATTTGAGCGACGATTCCAACATCAACCTCCTTCACCCTGACGAGGCAAGCCTGGCAGCCAATCTCCGGCTCGACTGCGCTACATATCTCACCAGCAAGCGTCGCATCTTTGTCCGCCGGCTGGAGTGTGCCAAGGTCGGCAAGGAATTCCGCAAGACGGACGCTCAGCAAGCTTGTAAGATTGACGTGAACAAGGCTTCGAAGCTTTGGACTGCGTTCGACAAAGTTGGCTGGTTAGACCTCAAGTGGATGAGCCAGTACATCTAAACATCTGCTCGATGCCTTTTCTCTTTCGATAGGTCATCCGGTATGACTGGTCGCCCTCCTACCAGGCAATCATACTGCCTGCCACCTTTGTCTTTATTACGACAACGGCTTATGATGACATTGGTTTTCTTACGATTTCAGCCTTATATCATGATACACAGGCTTTCACGATCAGGTTCCAAGCACTGTTTTTACTCTAGTTTCGGATCATTGCATAAGTAGCTTCGGTTTTGGGATTGTCTGACGAATATCTTGAGGCAACGAGAAGCACTTGGCCGGTTGCCAATTTCATATCCTTAGTCCATTTGGACGGGCGCATTTTACTCATATGCTTTACCCCGGTTTGTTTTTTTGAAGGGTTTGTCTCACATCAGCATCATACCACGGACGCTGCCTCAACATATCAGAGCATTAGGGATTATTACCACGATACCCGGAGTGCGACGGAAATCTGATGACCCCAGTCATGTCACCCCCGCTCCACACACGATTTTCCTTTCTTGGTTTCTCGGTTTCGACTTTGCATTTGGGTCAATTGGACATCATACCCCTTTTTCCTGAAACTGTGACGGACAATATCGGTTTTTGGTCCGGCATACTTGGGTTTTGCAGTTCTAGTGGGAGGGTTTGTGGATGTATCCCGTAGACAGATTGTTTGCTTGGATGTTCGTTCTCTCATGGAAATCGTTCAGTTCATAGGGATGAAACAAACTGAGCCAGGAAATTCACACATAACATGTACACGGAACGATGAATGCTAGATGATGATGCCTTGATGACGATGATGACTTCTGGTACAAGTGGTGAAGGGGACACAGCAGGGAAGCAAGCGATGGTTCCAGAAGACGGCGAGAGGTCGCTGTTGTCAATGGAATTCATACACCCTGGTTCAGCCCTACGAGCATTGAAGAAAAATTAAAGAAAATGACCAAGTCCTTTTTTGGAAAGGGGGTGCCGTTGAGGGTGAACCCCTGCGCTGAGCGACGGGCTCTTAGCGGAGCACTCGGTTGGACTGATCGACGACGCTGGCGGGACGTTCGGATCGAGACCAACGCAAGTATCAAAAGCCCTTTGATTCGTAAGTACCCTGACTACTGCACCATCATGTCGGCGCGGCGGGGCCACCCCAGGAGACATCAAGAGCCGAAAGCTTAGGCGCAACCTTGGAACATTGACACCGTGGCTTGACGGGGAGGGTAAGGCGAGGTGAGGTGATGAATTGAATTCATTCTGGATGACTCTTGGGACATGATCGATGCCATTCATCGTTCCCAATCCAACTGCTCAAGTGAGGCAGCGTAAGGTAGCCAGCGATATTTCATATCGGTGGGCCCGGCCTCGATCTGGTGTCAATTCTATACCATCGTAGGGAGTTTAGAGTGAGAATGGTTTTACCGTGAGGGCATTCCCGTTCAGGATGCGACCTAACCTCGGTCATCCCGAGTCACACGCAGGTCAAGAGTTGGGATAGCCTTATGGCATCGGGGGTTTTTCTTTTCATTTTTTTCTTCTTAATCTTCTTCCCCCCGAGCAAAGCCAACAGAAACAAATGCTGCCTGTATTGGGAAAGTTTCTGTGGCTGGAATGGCTCATGGGAAAGGGAGAGGCGAGTCGTTCATTCGATGTTCGCACCTTGGCGAAGAAGAGGGAGAGAAAAAAACCGCACCTCCGTCAGTTCATTCCTTCCGCTGCGGGTGGCCCATACCATCCCGGCGCCTCGTGCGCATGTAGTAGGTAGCATGAGGCAAGGAAGGTAGAGAACTTATAATGTGGGTAGCCCAGATACCTGGTAAGGTAAGGTAGACAGCGGGCAGCCGCGCCGAGCGGATACCTGGTCTCCGGCCAACCTCAGGTACCCGTGCCTTAGGAAGCGTCGTCACCACGGGGGTGTGCAATTATTGGTCGCCCACGCCTGAGGTAGGTAAGGTAAGGTAGATAGACACTTGGAAGTGACCATCATGGCCTGAGGCAAGAGAAATGCATCACAGGTACGGCGATAAGCTATCGATAAGAAAACAAGGACATCCGCATCGACGTCGCATGCCGTCTGGGTTCCCAACTCACACCTACCCAACAGCGCTCGGACAAGTCCGTAGAACGTTCTTTATCAAGTCAAACACGGCGCAATGATTGTGGTTCGACTCCTCCCGTACACACGTCCCACCGTTTGAACACCTTGAGATGAGTTGAACCATACCTCTGATTTTGATTACCACTGTAGGCCTAGATCGATCGAGTCCAGCGGGGCCCGCGGCGGTTGTTCATGCTCGTGAGGCAACGCCAGGTCTCCCTAGATCTCATTCATTCTGTATTCAAAAAGCCAAGGTCATCTCTCCGCCAAGCTATTCGTCTACGAAGGCGCCAATGTTTACATTCCTAGTCCTAGTCGTGTTGCGCATGTCTGCGCCTCTCTTCAATCACCATCTGCTCGGCCTGCTGGTTCACCAGTCCCTCAAATCCAGAAGATCTTCCTCGGCCGTGAGGCTCGTAGGTCCTGATGCGACGTGGCCTTCGCCAGACGAGCGCACACTGTGGCTACTGGGCACATTCGAGGCCATGCTCCCAGCTAGCTCTCTGCAGGGACCTCTGGGCCAAAGTCAGTCACAGATCAGAAACGGGGAGACGAGAGATTGCCTTACCCACGACATATGCTATCGCCAAGCGCTCCATGGACAATTTCCCGTCGTCCACACGCCACGCCACAGCCCCCCTCACTTGCGAGCTTCTTCCACTCGTCTGGTTTGCTGATGTGGATCTCTGTACCATGCGCCTCGCAGAAGATGGGAATGTATTCAGTTCGCCAACTGCCTATCTTGTCCAGAACCCCGCCCCAGATGTGTCGAGCTGATGATAGGGCGAGGTTCTGAGCATCTCCAAGGACCACGAGAAGGCGACGTGGTCGGCTGAGGGCGACGATGGCCCGCCGCAGGTCTTTCACAAAGCCGGCATCCGGCTTTCTGCGGTCTTCGGGGCTGCGAGTGACCGAAATGAGTATCACTTCGTTCTCCTTGCCTTGGTACCCATCCACCGTCTGTACTTCGGGGCCGGTCTCCTCATAGCCATCCGTGCTTTGACGCCCAGGAAACTGGCACGTCCGGCGAAGAGCATTCTCGATGTAAGTCTTTTGGCCACTGTAGAAGGTCAAGACAGTGATATTCGATGGCCTAGTTCCGTTGGACACCAGATGTTTGTAGAGTCCGGCGACCATGCCGGCCTCGAACGTGTTGAATTTGCTGGCGTAGCGGTTGGCCGACTCAGGTTCCTGGTGGTCAAACCACAGTACGCGTCGTGAGCCCATCCCCGGGACCGCATCCTGGGCCCGAGTGCAATCGTGGTCGACCAGAAGCGGATACCAGCCACTGAGAAGTCTGCGGATTTCCGGCGCCATTCGTCTTTGAATTTGAAGGCTTGAATACTCCATGCCCCTTTCTACTAGCCTCTGGAAAAGAGACACATTGAGGTTGAAAGGAGGTTTACTGAGCTCTAACACGTCCGCATGAGGTGCGAGCTGCATGTGGTCGCCGACAAGTATCATCTGCTGCAAAGTTGGAAATAGTGCCGCGGTGATATTCGCCTCCCGGGTCTCGGCGGCTTCCTCAATCATCATGACCCGGGGCTGCATAGCTGCGATGAGACCACGGTACTTGGTAAGGCCAGTCGTGGTACATCCGATTATACGAGCCCCCGATTCCTGGATGGTTTCAATGTCTTCCTGCCATCTGACTACCTTCAATTCGCGGGTGATGTCGTTGATTCTCTCAAATACTCTCGTGAGAGCTAATCGAGTGGAAGCAATATAGCGTTGTTCCAGGTATTGATAAACCATTCCGCGATAATGGGGGGGAAAATTCCAGAGACTGTCGTGGTTGGCCAGTAGTTTCCGGACAACAGCTTCGCTGTTGTTGTCGGCGCTCTTGGGAATCTTCATTGTATGCCAGCGAGATATAGGTATGGGTTTCCCCGAGAGTTGCTCCTTTCTCACATTCGTGGAGGAGTTGTGCTCGCCCTCTTCGGAACCGAGAACCTCACCAGCACCGTTATCGGATATGAAGGGCGCATGAATGCTCTGATGTGGCCCTATTGCGAGCGTCTCATTCCCTAGCCAAGGACCGAACGGATGGCGTGACACATCGCCAGCAATGGTATTCAGAGACCCATTCCAATTGACCATGATGGAGGCACACTGTCGCAATGTGATCAAACCGACCACCTGTAGATGTTCAGGAAGTATGAGCTGCTGGCGAAAAGGAGGAAAGCAACGCTGGAGGAGAATCTTGGCCTGGGACTTGAGAAAGTCAAGTCGTTTCTGAAACTGATCCCTTCGCCGTGCTTTGCCTCGATGTATCGCCCTGAGATTGAACAAGGTGCGCTGGAAAACCGCGTCATCTTTGGCCCGGCCACCAAGACGGATGAAGTTGACACCTTGCTTATGGCAGCGCGACAACAGCTCATTGACAGTATCATTCTTTTGCGCGGTTATGATGATTGGGACATCGACCGGCTGTGTACTGAGCAAAACCTTCAATGCCGCCATGGATGTGTGTGTTTTGCCAGTCCCAGGGGGCCCTTGAATAATAGAGAGCTCTTTAGTGATCATGCTTTGTAAAGCCACCACCTGCGATCCGTCAAGACCAGTCTTGTTCTCGATGTGCTCGGGTATATCTCCTTGTGCGGGGATTTTGAGAGGCTCAATGTTGGCATCGACACGATGGTAAAGTGATGAAATATCCAGCGAAGGATGGTCTCGAGACAAGCAGGCGGGCCTTGCAATAGGTTTTGCCCCCTTCGTCAGATACTTGTCAAATGGTGACCTAGACGCCGTTAATACTCTTCTTGACTATACCGTGAGCCATCTCGGAACTGACTCTTCTTTCGCTGCCTGCTTCAGACCTTCCATGACATGTCGAACCGCTTCAAAGTAATTGGAACGAGCCTCGATCATGACATATTCTTGATCAGGCTCCATGATGCTTGCGGCAACTTCGGGATCGCGAATTTCCAAGTCCAGCGGAGGCGGCGTTTCTGAGCAGTTAATAGCCTCGTCATAGCGACCAGTCACAACAGCGACAATGCATCTCTCTTGGAAGTTATCTGGGACAGGTGAGAGTGCCACGACTGTGCCGGGAACAAGTCGCTGAGATGCGGGCCAGTTGACGAGCTGTCTGGTCCGCACGGCAGAAAATGTGACGCGCACCATGGACCCAAGACGAATGATGTTGACGCCACGAACAAAAACCTGCAGAGTCACAAAAGTTAAGTTCCGTGCCCTCGCCGCTCTGTGAACGTACTTCCTTGCTTACCTCGGTGTAGATACAAGTTTCAGTGCTCTCGGCCATGTCGGGTGCTGACTTGTAGATCTGGACGGCCCTGCGAAGCGGTTCAACCCCTTCGTGACGTAGAACACCGTAATTGAATCTAAGATACTCATCCTTGCTTGAGGAAACTGTGTTGAGACTGCTGGGACTTGGCGTCTTCCCAGTCGCCGTCATGAGCTCCTCAGCCACAGGCAGCTCTGAGATACGGCGCCAGCCTGTTCCACCTTCGGCGTACACATGGGAGCGAATGATGGTCTCTAGTCTATCTGACTCGGTGACCGGACCTGGCATCCCTTCAATAGGCAAGCAAGCCATCAATCTATGATCTGAGGCTGAGGGTATCGAGTCACACGCAAGAGAGTTCAACCGGGCTCAGCAGAAAAGCGTGGTAGAATTGGCTATCAAGAAACAGGCTGGGTAGTTATAAGCCAAAGTGTATTCAAGAGGCGGGTATGTGGAAACACCCTGTTTCGGCCCCGGGAACAGGGAAAGTGCATACAGCCGTCAGCGTTTGCCTCAAACCAAGAGCAATCTTTCCACAGGTGTCTCCTGCCAAAGACTGCATGCCAGGTCAGTAATATTGAATATTGCGATATTTCGTTCATTTCGATGGCAACTGATTGCAACTAGTCCCGAGCTAGAATCATCAAAAACAGTAACGTTTGGCTGACGGTGGAATTTCTCCTTTGCAGGGAAACACAGCCTGGACCAGTGGGATGTTGTTTGTGACAAACGAGAGAGCTACTGGCTGGTGTCTCTTGAACCAGCAAATCTCCGTGTCTGCCGCTCAAACGACTCATTACCGGCTGGTTACGGTTGCAGGAAGCAAGCACGGTTTGCCAACCGCACAAGATGGCATGAAAGCGCCTTTGTGGCTGAGCCGGCGCCCTCGGAGACTGGCGGTCCACTTGTGGCCCGGAGCACCGGTAGCGGTCCGCCCGTCTGCGGGTCAATACCTAGGCGGCACCTTCACTGCGAGGCTGGGTACCCATCTCCACTCCACTGTACCTAGGTAAGCTGCCCAGGGTCATTGCATACCGCTCCCCCGCTAAGGTCTGCCCGGCGAGCTTGCTTTGCTCCAACCTACCTACTAGGTAAGGTAAGGAAGGGCACGTCGCGATTCACGCCTTCGCGACGATTCCATTGAACAACCCCGAACAACTTCAATTGTACCGCCACTACCTCACCAATTGCCGCCACGCACAGCCAGACAGCCCTGCCATACCAAGGCGCTTTCAGCTATTCTATTGTTGTTGCTGAAACTCCGGACTCCGCAAACCATCACCGATCATTGCCCAGCACGCAAGCAAGCTAACGTCGCGATCGATCCTGCATGCCACGCGCCCAGGACTCGGTTTCGTAGGCTGGCATCGCGCACCAATCTTGCAACATGGATGAGGATGACAGAGGTAAGTCTCTATGTATTCCTCACTACCCGCTACTGCCCTAACTTGCCTTGGCGCATCAGATTCGAACGCGAGTTCCGAGAACGACCAAGATGAGGTCATGGAAGATGTAGACGACGCCGAGGGTGACGTGGAACCCGAGGAGGAGGATAACGAAGACGACCAGGAAGAGGGCGATAGGGAAGAAACGGCCGACGATGCGCACGATAAAGGCGATGACGGAGCAACAGGGGACCCAAGACAAACATCTAGGGCCAACTCAGCCGGTGCTCGAGCATCCCCAGAGGGAAAAGGCAAATCACCACAGCCCTCGTACTCTAGTCTTTTCCCCAGTGTCCGACCCGAAGCAGTCAATGCCAGACTCTACGACATCGTTCCCACCATGGCTGCCCCTCAGGCGACGAGCATCAATGCTATAGCCATCACCCCCGATCTTCGGTACTGGATGACTGGAGGATCCGACGGCTACATTCGCAAGTACGATGGACCGGGTACTATAAACGGCAAACAACTTCTCACAGTGGCGCAGAGGCACCCTTTTGTCGATAGTGTCGTCAAGGCGGGGATTTTGATGTCATACTGGGAGAATGAAGAGCCTGGGCCTCCAAATCCGAGAGGCAATGAAGACCACGTTCTATCCCCAGTCTACTCGTTGGCAGTACACTCCCAAGCATTGTGGCTCTTGTCTGGACTTGAATCTGGTGGCATTAACCTCCAGAGTGTACGCCACGACGAGGGAAAGCGCATAACGTGTCTTCAACAACACACTAATGCTGTAAGCGTTTTGTCACTAGCGCAGGACGAGAAGAGTGTGCTCAGTGGCAGTTGGGACAAAAATATTTTCGACTGGGATCTGAATGTCGGGACTGTGAAGCGTACTTTCGATGGCAGTGGAGGTCAGATATCCGCCATCGAACTACGACCGGTCAATGGAGCGCCGATTCCAGCGGACGCGATGGAAGATGACATCAAGCTCGACACAACTTTCAGCTCGAACAACGGAAAACCCGCAAAAAACAACATGACTGGTGGCAGCGTAAATGGTCTAGATAGCCAGGCACCCGCTGTATCTGGTGAAGCCGACGAGGGACAGGCGTCTCCGGCGCATGAGTCGCTTTTTGGCGGCAGTGATACTGGGTCGTTGTTCGGCGATAATGTTGGCGGGAACTACGGGGCGGATGATGATGATGAATTCTCGAGGGCCATGGGCGACATGGGCATGCCGCCTCTGCATGACGGCTCAGGACAGGATGGAGGCATGGATCATTCCGCCGATATCGACATGACCAATGCCTTCAGTACTGATGCAACATCTGCCCCTGCAATCCAGCCATCAGGCACAGGCAGCCCGGAGGCGTCGAGGCATCACGCCGCTTCCCAAGGTGCTGACACTAATGCATTGGACGGACAACCGACGCAAGATGTCACGAATGATATTACTGCACATGCTGGTCCGTCGAGCCTGGATGACGCAGCAGCAATTGACGCGCAGCTATCAGAACCTGCTCCGGGATCACCTTCCATGGTCTTTGCATCAGATCCGCCACCTCCACCAATGGATCCCACTCAATCTGCCGACACCGTCTTCTTCTCTGCAGCAATAGATGGTCCAATCCGACTGTGGGACCGGCGGGTTCAGGATCCCGTGGCAAGGATAGGTAATCAGCGCAGTGTTCCTCCTTGGTGCATGGGAGCATGCTGGAGCCCTGATGGTAACTGGATATACGCCGGCAGACGCAATGGAACAGTGGAGGAATACAGCATACACAAGGCCAGAAGCGGTTGGGCGCCAGAGCGATCCCTGAAGTTTCCAGCTGGCAGTGGAGCTGTGAGCGCTGTGAGGATGATGCCAAACGGACGGCATTTGGTCTGGTAAGTGTTGCTGACTTACAAAGCTGTTGCAGGCGGCGGTTAAGCTAACTTGACCTAGTGCGTCTCATGATATTCTTCGCTTGTATGATCTTAGAGACACGAGGGCATTCAAGCACTCGACTGTTCCCTTTTTGATTATCCCCGGACCTCCAAGGGCCGGTGTCATCTCGTCTCTCTACATCGATCGGACCTGCCGCTTCATGTTGACGGCCGCTGGGACCCGTGGTTGGGAGGGCACAAGCACGGAAGTGTTGATTGGCTATGAGATTGGAGTGACCGAAGAAAAATGATAGGTTTCAAGCCTTCTCAAAACAGAGGCGCTTGGAAACAAAGGTTCTCTCTTGACCTCGGCGGAGAGCACAGGCAAAGCGGTAAGAAGTATTTATGAATATGGAGTTGAAGGCGATGCAGGCTATTCGGGTCTAGAAGTCTAGAATCAATACCCTTATTTATTCGAGTACTGAGATGCTTGTTAATGTACCGCGACAAGACACTGGAGTGCGCACGTCGAATCAAGCTCCTGTGTGCGTGCCTGAGCCACTCGCCCCCGACAGACCCAACCTGTCGGCTTCTCCAACATCCCACAGCGGCCTAGCGCCCTGTGATCGCCTCCGCTCATAACCGGAACACGGCATTGTGCTCTGATCGCCGAGAGATACGTTCCCCTGTCAAGGCACTGGAGCTTTACCCCGGATTGGAGGCTTTGGACATGTGCTGCCCCCCGACTGTCTATCTTCACCACACCACCTACCCTGTTGACCGGGGGTTTCATCTATCTCCCCAGCCATGTCGACCGCCTTCACCTTGCATTCCAACACCAACAACGATAGCAGCCAGCCACTCGGAGCACGCACCGGCGTTTACCGGAGATGAAGGGGGTTATTGATACCAGTGACCTCTACATTTCGCTGGACCTGAACCGGCGCCGACAGCTCAATTGATGCAAATAAAACGAACATGTCTCCCCCGCATTGCCAGGTACCGGCGTCGGCCGACGATGAAATTCAACCGCTTCTTTCACGGCCTAGTCATTCATCCCACGACGTCGATACCGCAATGGCATTCAAAGATGCTGAGACCATCGTCTCAGGCTCGGGCTCGAAGCCAGGCGCCGCTGATGCCGAACTGGCTGAGGCCATTCGTTTGGAGCATAACCTAATTTTCTCCGAAGCTGTCAAGCTCTATCCGGCTGCCATTGGATGGTCAGCCTTCGTGTCTCTTGGTGTCATCATGCTCGCTTTCGACCCTCAGCTACTAGGAAATCTCTACGCCACGCCTCAGTTTCAAAGGGACTTTGGCTATGAGTATGAAGGTTCTGTAAGCTACCTAATCTGCCCACCAACATGAACATTGCCCACGACAACTAACGCGCTTAAGTATATTATCAGTACGCCGGCAGATGGTTTCGGGCAGATGTAGCCTCCACGTTGCTAACATACATTCTAGGTGCCGCATGGCAAACTGGGCTTTCCATGGGCAACCCCGTTGGTCAAGTTGTCGGTGCTCTCTTCGCGGCGTATCCCATGGACTGGTTTGGTCGAAAGCTGACCTTTGCTGCCTGTGTCGTTTTGACCGCGGCAATTGTCTTCATTCAATTCTTTGCCCGCTCACTTCCCGTTCTGCTGGTGGGGGAGCTTCTTGGTGGTTTGGTCCTGGGCATGTATGTTGTCATTGCCCCGGCCTATGCCTCAGAAGTTTGTCCCACCGCGCTACGTGGTCATCTGACATCTTACGTCAATCTTTGTTTCGTTGCCGGTCAACTTCTGGCAAACGGAGTAACAGCTGGCACCTCCAAGCTTGAGACTCATTGGGCATATTCTCTGCCTTTTGCGCTCCAGTGGTTCTGGATCCTAGTCATCCTCCCTGGCCTACTCTTTGTACCTGAAAGCCCGTGGTGGCTGGTACGAAAAGAGAGACTGGACGAGGCAGAGAGAAGTCTCAGACGCTTGGCATCCAACAAAGTCAACGTCGCCGCAACATTGGCTTTCATTGTAGAGACCGACAGACTCGAGCAGGAGCTTGAGGCCGGAAGCACATATTGGGACTGTCTCAAGGGAGTGAATTTAAGACGAACAGAAATCTCTGTTGGCGCCTACTGCACCCAGGTCCTCAGTGGCATCTATCTCATTAACTATGGCACATACTTCTTTCAGCAGGCTGGATTGCCCACTGACAAAGCATTTGATATGGCTATTGGGTTCCTTGGTGAGTCGACCTTATCTTGGTGACTTGCAAATTCGGCCCTAACACCATCCACGACAGCTGTTGGATTTGTCGGCACAGTAATCTCATGGTACTTCCTCATCCACTATGGTCGCAGGACTATTTACATCACGGGATTGGCTGCCTTGGTTGTTCTGCAACTCATAATTGGCATTCTCGACTGCGTTCCAGGCCGACCCTCCGGTGTGATGTGGGCAGAGTCATCCCTCATGTTGATATGGAATTTTGCATATGATCTCTCTGTCGGACCGGTCTGTTTTGTGCTCATATCCGAGGCCTCCGCAACAAGAGTGCGATCCAAGACTATTGCTCTTGCAACCGCAGCTCAGGGTGTTCTGGGCATCATTATGACGGTGGCAATTCCGTACATGGTGAGCACTTCTTACCCCATCAGCCGCTAGTCTAGAGCGCTGACTTTAATACGCGCTAGATCAACCCCGACGAGTTAAACATGCAGGGGAAGCTCGGGTTCTTTTTTGGGGGTCTGGCGGCTTTGTGCTTTTGCTGGGCATGGTTCCGAATTCCTGAGACCATGGGCCGTACGTACGAAGAGCTGGACATTCTTTTCGACAAGCGCGTGCCGGCCCGGGACTTCAAGGGCTATGTAGTAGAGGGTATGGCATCCCCTAGCGCTTAAATTCTCGGTAGGCGTGTTTTTTCTTGGACGCAGATTTCGAAGGACTAAGATGTGTCATAATACCCGAAACGAAACTATATCAGAATTCTGTATGACTGAGCGACACTGGAACTCATTTTTCCTCCTTCCCTTGAACCTCTACGACCTTTGATGTTACAAGGAGCTTTTCGGGATGGGAACGAGGTGTGAACCCAGTACCACCGCCATCAGGATGGTCTTAAGTACTTGCATCGTGCTCGTCATGATCTACCGCCCGCTTCACTCCCCAGTTGCTGATGCAAAGGTTTTAGTTTCCGTACGCATAACTAGCAGTGACTCATGGGCCCCGTTCTCGATGCTATCCGATTTCTGGACATTGGATCGAGATTAACCGCTACATGGTAGCTATGGAACCTCCAAGCAGTCCGAATGGTTGGGGATGTGTTCAGAGTCACAGTCTTCGATTCAATAGCAACTGCGACGGATCCGGCGTCCCATGCGAGGGCCCACAATTCAGTTCCATCCTGCGTTGATGAAGACTCGTTGCCTCTGTCAGTATCTGTACGGGTCTTGTCACGATGTGACAACATTGATCTGGATGTTTGTGATTTTGCGCCGCAAGGAACGCCAAACAACAGAACAGGTCTTTGTTTCAGGCCCTTAAAGATTTGAGAAACGGTAATCTCACATTGAAAGCCAGGATGCCACTCATTGTTGAATGCTTCGAAAGATCAGTCCAGGGAAAATGCTGAAGGAAGTGCTTCGCTTGTCATAATCATCACACACCATTTGTCTTGGCCGCTTTCTTTTCCTTGTTCTTCGTAAACGTTGGCAACGGTCCATCTGATTTTACGAATTACAGTTCCTACTGAAGCGACAGCTCCGGATTGAGCAGCCCCCCGCCCCCCGAATTATCGCCAGCTTGCGGTCTCTCCAGGGATTCAGACGACAAAAATGAAGCGGGTCGCATGCTTGTACAGAGAGAGCACTATGCGTGTCTGCTTCCCATGCACGGTGACATTAGCCCTTGGCTGCATCGCCACCAATCGTTTAGCTCTCAGACACACCAACCCCGGCATCTACGGATTGCACTGACACTCATCATGTGCATTGGGCCAGTACAAGCCAGTGATCATCGGCCCATGTGTGGTAAACGCGGCGTCACAAACCACCAGTCCCCGCACGCAAGGAGATCGGCGAGAAGTCCGGTAAGCAACACCAAACGTCACCTCGGCCGGCCATTTCCCGAACTTGAGAGCCAGGTTCATTCCCCTCATCCCCACGATTTCCCCTCACCAACCCCCCACGGGGTAAGGGAACCTTCCCGCGTACAAGAAGAGACACTGAGCCACATTCCTAGGGCGCATTCCTGTGTCATCGATCGTTGCTTCTTGGTGTTCTGCTTTCCCTTTCCACTTGTGCAACCGAAAACACGCAAGTCATGGATACAAAGAAGGCGAGTATTGAGCAGGATGAGAACCCGGCGCCCAACGCGTTGAAGCCATCGGCTTCGAATCCGACTCCAGAAGAATGGGCGCAACATTTTACGAGCCAGGATGAGGCCTGGCACAAAGACTACGACAAGAGATTGCTAGTCAAAGTTGACAGGAGGCTCATGCCCACGCTAGTTATGAGTACGAGAAAAAGCTTCCAAACATGTTCAATGTTCATGGCTAACTATGAAAACAGTGTATCTACTCAACTTCCTCGATCGATCCAATCTCGCCCAAGCTCGGCAAGGCACTCTGGAAGCGGACTTGGGCATGTCCGGGACCGATTTCAACTTGGCAACCTCCATCTTCTTCGTCGGTTATTTGCTGATGCAGCTACCATCAAACCTGCTCCTCACCCGAGTGCGCCCGTCTTTCTATCTCGCATCATCATGCTGTCTTTGGGGTGTTGTATCGACGTGTAATGCCGGGGCGAAGACCTTTACGCACCTCGTGGTGATTCGTTTTGTAAGCCTGCCTCGACTTCCGCATTGCCAATCTCATACCAGAACGGCAGCCGTTAGGGTTCCACGGACGTCGCCACTGACGCGTCGATAGTTTCTCGGATTTGTCGAGGCCCCATTCTTTCCCGGTCAGTTTGATTCCTGGTGATCTTCAGTGACTCGTGGCTGACCTGGACTTCCAGGTGCCGTGTTTCTCATGAGTTCATGGTACACCCGCGCCGAGCTCACCCGTAGAATTGCATATCTTTATGCTGGCAACGCACTAGCAAATATGTATGCAAACCGATATGTCATTCTATGATCGAGGCTAGCTGACGGTTCTCAGGTTTGGTGGACTGCTTGGTGCAGCTATTCTAGGCAATTTGGAAGGAGATTTGGGACACGCCGGTTGGAGATGGTTGTTCATCATTGTAAGGCTCTCCCAGTCGATCTTTTTGGCGGTAGAAATTGACCGTCATCTTAAACAGGAGGGTGTAGTAGCCATTGCTTTTGCCCTAGTGGCCATGTGGATCCTCCCGGACTATCCTCACACGACCAAGTGGCTGTCCGAAGAAGAACGCGCCTATGCCGCCTGGCGCCTCATCGAAGACATTCAAGAAGCCGACACCTATCACGAACAGAGCATGTGGGGAGGGGTAAAGATGGCCGTACGCGACTATCGCCTCTATATGTTTATTCTGATGCAGCACCTATCTCTGGTCACCCAGACTTTCCAATATTTCTTCCCAACCATTGTCGGTACCTTGGGCTACGGCAAGATCAACACACTCTGGCTAACTGCTCCTTGCTGGGTGAGTGGACGATGCAGCCACCGGGAGTCCCCCGCATGCCTTTTGACGACATGCTCATCGTCTCGTAGGCTGCTACTTTCCTCATTTCAGTCTGCGTAACCTACTCTTCGTCAAAAACAAAAGATAGATCACTTCACATATTCTGCCTCACTCTTCTATCTGGAGTTGGAAACGCCATAGCGACTGGCTCGAGTGTTGTTGGAGTCCGTTACTTTGCCATGTTTCTCATGCCCATGGGCGCTATTTCCGCATGTGAGCTCCATCAGCACATTGCTTTAAGATAGAATAACCTACTCACGCCAGATGCAGACCAAATCATTGTATCGTGGGTCGCCAACTCATTCCCTCGACCGCTCGTCAAACGATCAGCTTGCATCGCCATCGCGAACATGATAGGTTGGTACCTCTCCGCATGCGATTGGGAGGAAGCTCACGTTGCTCTTAGGAAACACCGCCACTATCTATGGCAGTTATATGGTTCGTGCTGTCAATATGAATGGCCAGCCTATAATCAAGGAGCTGACTTGTTCTAGTACCCGAGCAGCACAGGTCCGCAGTATGTTCCGGGAGGCAGTACTAATGCTGTACTCTGTCTGATGGTTGGTCTGCTCGCACTGGTGCTTCGATACTTGCACAAATGGGAGAACAAAAAGTTAGAGAAGGCGGAGTTGGAGGCGGCGGCCGCGGCAGAGGGAGGGGAGAAAATAGCCGTTGATTTGACCCAAGAGAAGAGAGCAGCTGGGTTCAGGTATATCTACTGAGCTGGAAAAGTCACCACACCAACACACCCACCGCTTGAGGTTGCGTCGGAGACACCCATGATGCCCAAATGCATACGCTTGGTGCCCATACCAATGTTGGAGAACTATCGTCACAGTTGTACTTACTATGGTGGGGAGACACATGCAACTCTGTTGGACATACTCTACGCCCAAAAGTCCTGTGTCTGGGTCAAGAATTTGAAGCACTTCGTCTGAGTCCAGCTACTCGGACAAGCAACGTATTGATTGATCGTATAGTCACGATTCAATGTTATTACATTCGAGGCGCAAGTCTTGTCCACTGATTCAATTCGAGAACGCCGAATCCAAGCAATCAAGCGCGGCTGCCAACTGCTGTTCAGCACCAGAAAAAAAGGGGAACCATGTATCCAATGCCGACACGAGTGAACTTGACGGAAGCGAAGTCGCCACTTCGGCTACGGAGAAGCTGCGCCATGCACTATGGCAGCTGCCTCATGACTTCACTGTCTCGTAGCCGGGAAACCCAACCTCTCGGCATTCCAACCGAGTCTGTAAGGACACCAGGGTTCTTCAGCATCGTCTTGTCCCAACCATCGAGTGAGCGAATAGGAGTTCCGAGAGGTCACCGGGGCAGCACTAGTGTCAAGTTGATCTCGATACACAGAATCTGCCGTAACGTAGTCCTGTGCCACTGTTTGAGGCATGTCGCTATCACAGAGTCATATGAGCAAGCTGCCCGTTTAAGGAGGATAAAGAACCCGCAACAAAATATTCGGGCCGATGTTCTCAGCTTCTACTCTGCCACCAAATCGATGGGCTCATAAGAGAAACACACACCCGAGGCTTGACTCCACGGGGCGCCGTGGTCCACAGTATTTTGGGCACAGAATGATGCCTTTGTATGTGGCTGAATGAGCCGGTAGGAAGGTAGGCTGGGGGACCTCGCACGCGTAAAGAATCGAGGCAGGGGCTGGCCGGAGATGAAGTCGTCCTAGAAGACGAAAGGGCTCAGCCTGACTACAAGAGAACATCTGGCTTGTTGACGGGGATGTGGCATCTTAAGTAGACTTTTGATGATGTGCCAACGTCCACCGAGCTGTATATGCCCACCTCGCGCCGTGCTGCTTCCCTAATCCCCTGTCTGACTTGTTGTTCACAAACCAGCTTTTGTTTAGTTTTTGCAGGTCATGCAGGTCGTGCAACCGCGCAGGACATGTAAGCCAGACGCCACGCATTTCGAGAAGGACCGGGGGGCCATTTCTAATGGTTTGGCCCAGAGTCCACATCTTCGCACGTCGCTCTAAGCTACATAGCAAAACTTCGACCTGTGTTGATGCGATATGTAGGCGACTTAGGCAGGTATCCGTTCGCGATGTATTATTGCTCCAATCCAAGGAGTCATTGGAGCCCCGTCGAGGATAGCTGCAGTGGCCGGCTTATCCGAGGTCTTCGCTTTGTCGCGTCACTGAGCCTTATTTCTTCATTGTGCCAGATAGTTCATTCTGAGGAAGCGCCCCTCCCACTGAGAAGTAG